AAAGGTTGATGAGATTTACACAACACAAGTGACCTGTAATATACAACCAGACGTTTTGCTGGCAACTTATAGCAAGCAGACTTTGTATAGTGCTTTCGTTTTGGAAACACAGCACAATTAAGCAAAATGCTTAACTTCCCTTGAGATTTATCTGCCTGCCAGCAAACCGTGCGAACGTAAACAAGGCAAGTCATCAATACCGTTTGTATGCATATTTACATTCTTACATATTGTTAGTGAAATATGAGAAAAATTGTACAAAATATATAGTTTACCTCAAAGCTATGCACGATTTTTCCTTTTGATTTCGAACAGCCAAAGGAATATAAGTTTCCGCGCAATAATTTCTGCTAATGCTGTTTGACGAGCTACTTATGGCACCCAATAGTTGCTCAAGCGATATCTCATCTTGCTCATTTAGTTGCCTGGCAAGATCAACATAAAAACCTGCCAAAATTTTACAATCATCTGCCGCAAAGGCAGCTTGAACAACACCGTAATCCATATCAGATACAACTGAAACTTTTTTAAACAAAGCGTGATTGCAATTTTGCGATGTAGCGAAAGATAAGACCTTCAAAATAAATGACCCCGCTGTGAATCAGTCAAAGTATCAAATAGCGTAAAATAACAAAGTAAAAATACTAGTCGATAATATAAAATATTATTGTTAGAGCCCTTGAAAGTCGTCAATCCATCAGGCCTCCCCACAGATACATCAAAACTGCAAGTTTCCATGGCAATAGGCGAATTGACCAATGAGAAGACTAAGATTTGACTTTTTGATGGATCTGTGGGCTTGAGATCATATTTGAGGCTAATTACATAGCTTTCCTTAAAAAAACGGCTGTACACTCAGGCCATTAATTAATTCTGATCGTTATGCTTTCGTTTGGCTTACGATATGTGATAGTTGACTTAATGTTTATTAATTTTAGTATGTTGCATGAATAATTAATCACCATTTCATACGTTCGTCGCGTGATGGATTTGATGACCCTTAAATCCGCCCCTGACGTTTAAGGCTTTTTGGGTTTAAATTATGCCAATGAACTAGTTATAAACTAGTCAAATAATTCAATTACAGCAATGGATATTTTTATATTCTTGGTGTGAAGTCGCTTTGAATTGTGCTTTTAATAAACTTAACTTTTGCCATCTTACGGATCAATTCTGATTACCAGAAACAGCTTGAAATATACCTAAATGACACAACCAAACATCGGACATGATGTTAACAAATCTATATAGTTTCTACAATAAAAATTCTATATCAGCTTTCCTTCATTTAATTTATCAAAATAAAATGTAATGTTATCTTATCAAGGCGTGAAATTTACTTTTCCCAACATTTAAGCCAACGAAGGCCTGTTTAGTCTTATTCAACTTAAACAATCAAATGAAACAAAACTTCTACAATCTGATATTGTGAATTTTCATGTATAAGACCAACTCTTAATTATGGAGCTAAGGTTTATTTTAACAAACACCCAAAATACCAAGGAAACGGTAATAAAATTCAGACATGTTAATAAAAACAATAAAAATCATAACGCCGTATCTTTGCTTTACATAACAATAAACTTTTAATGTTTCAATATAAATTGCACAAAACAATTTACCACGTATCAATTCAAAGGACGCAATCATTTGACGCTTAACTTTTGAGAACGTTAAGTGATTTGAAAGATCGAATGTTCAAAGTTTTGAGCCATCAACTAGTAAAAGGTTTGTAAGACTAAAGACAAAGAATTATCGTGTGTGTTAACGATGTATAAATGAGATCTTAAATAAAAGTTGTTCGTCAAATATAATTAATACAATTTTAATAAATATTAGTCTCAACCTGTTACTATAAAATATACATCATAGATACCCGTAGCAACTTGTGATCCTGTAGTTGTACACCAAATAAGCAAAGTTACAAATACAAACAATTTGCTTACCAAAAAATCACTGTCATCTAAAGGAAGTTGTGTTTATCATGATGTGCTTGCTTGCTAAGGAATTCAAATTGCTTGCTAGCATGCAATTATATTTATCTTTGGGTCCAGACGGTATATTTATAAAATATGTGTTGTTTCATTATACTTGTAATAGTATGAAATGACATTTATGAATCAGGAAGGAAATTTAGTTTGAAATTGCAAATGGACTCATGCATGCCATCATGAAATATTTTAAATATTTAGTCCTTGACTTGTGATTTGATAAACTTAACTTTTGCCACCATACGAATCAATTCAGATTACCAGAAACAGCTTGCAGTTAAATGTACCTTAAGATACAACCAAACATTGAACTTGATGCTAACAAATCTTTATAATTTCTACAAGACTACAACAAGAATTCTCTATCATATTCCCTTCATTTGATTTATTGCATCTAGAAGATAATGAAATGTCACGTTATCCAACGTTGAGATTTACTTTTCTTAACATTAGAGTAACAAACGCATGTTTTTTCTTATTCAACTTAAACAAGCAAAAGTTCCACAATCTGATATTGTGAATTTTTATACCATCTCATCCGTATAAGACCAATTTCTGAGGATGGAGCTGAAGTTTTCACCACTTACTCCCAAATATCTTGAAAACCGTAAAATTTAGTAAAATTTATACTTCTCATTTCTATTGATCAATTTCATCCAAAGTATATTCAATTTTATAAACATAAACAATAAAAATCATAAAACCGTACCTTTGCTTTACATAACAATCTATTCTTAAGATGTTTTAAATTCTGTGGCACAAAATAATTTTCCACATATCGACTCCAAGGAAGAATATATGATGCTTAAGTTGTCAGAACTTTAAATCTTTCTAAAAGTTCAACTGTTCAATGCTACACGCCGTTAACCAGTAGAAGGTTTGTAAGAAAAAAAAACAAAGAATTTTCATGCTTGATTACGACGTATAAATGTGACCTATGGAAGCTTGTAAATTTTGTAATTGTAGATAAATCAAACGAAGTTACAATTCCAAACAAGAACAATATGCTTATCATAAACAAATCACTGCCATCTTAAACAAGGTAAGGCTTTTTCTAAAGTATATTTAATTATTTATGATTCACCACGAAGTACATTTTCTTTAAAATCGCAAATGGACACATACATGTCATCATTGAATAGTTTAGATATTTAAGTCGTTTTAAAAGTAGAAATATTAATCAACAAGTGTGTTTATCTTTGTCATAAACTATAGTATCGCTTGTTCAATTTAGTAAGTCCACATTTTTATGGAGCTAAAGAATTTTGCTTATCTTCGTGACGTTGCAATTGTCTTTCCTCGATGCTAAGTTGTTGTATGCAAATTCATCGCATTAAATAATACAAGCTAGGCAATCTGGAAATTACGAAAAAGCTATAGAGTTTCACGAAAAAAATATGGAAATTCAAAAACAATCGTCAGGTCCAAATCATGTTGATGGTGCTCAGTCTTTGAACAATTTTGGTAATTTGTATTATGAAAGTGGAAATTACGAAAAAGCTATAGAGTTTTACGAAAAAGCTCTGGAAATTCAAAAAAAATTGTTAGGTCCAAATCATATTGATGTTGCTCTGTCTTTAAACAATCTTGGTCTGGTGTTTCGTAAAACTGGAAACTACGACAAAGCTAAAGAGGCTCACGAAAAAGCTCTAGAAATTCGAAAACAATCGTTAGGTCCAAATCATGTTGATATTGCTCAGTCTTTAAACAATCTTGGTAAGGTGTTTGAAAAAACTGGAAACTACGACAAAGCTAAAGAGTTTCACAAAAAAGCACTGGAAATTCGAAAACAATCGTTAGGTCCAAATCATGTTGATGTTGCTGATTCTTTAAACAATCTTGGTTTGGTGTTTGAAAAAACTGGAAACTACGAAAAAGCAAAAGAGGTTCACGAAAAAGCTCTAGAAATTCGAAAACAATCGTTAGGTCCAAATCATTTTAATGTTGCTAATTCGTTAAACAATCTTGGTGTGGTGTTTGAAAGAACTGGAAACTACGACAAAGCTATAGATGTTCACGAAAAAGCTCTAGAAATTCGAAAACAATCGTTAGGTCCAAATCATGTTGATGTTGCTAATTCTTTAAACAATCTTGGTATGGTGTTTTATAAAACTGTAAAATACGACAAAGCTAAAGAGTTTCACAAAAAAGCACTGGAAATTCGAAAACAATCGTTAGGTTCAAATCATGTTTATGTTGCTGTTTCTTTAAACAATCTTGGTTTGGTGTTTGAAAAAACTGGAAACTACGACATAGCAAGAGAGGTTCACGAAAAAGCTCTAGAAATTCGAAAACAATCGTTAGGTCCAAATCATGTTGATGTTGCTCAGTCTTTAAACAATCTTGGTACGGTGTTTGTAGGAACTGGAAACTACGACAAAGCTATAGAGGTTCACGAAAAAGCTCTAGAAATTCGAAAACAATCGTTAGGTCCAAATCATGTTGATGTTGCTCAGTCTTTAAACAATCTTGGTACGGTGTTTGTAGGAACTGGAAACTACGACAAAGCAAAAGAGGTTCACGAAAAAGCTCTAGAAATTCGAAAACAATCGTTAGGTCCAAATCATGTTGATGTTGCTAATTCTTTAAACAATCTTGGTGTGGTGTTTGAAAGAACTGGAAACTACGACAAAGCTATGGAGGTTCACGAAAAATCTCTAGAAATTCGAAAACAATCTTTAGGTCCAAATCATGTTGATGTTGCTAATTCTTTAAACAATCTTGGTATGGTGTTTTATAAAACTGGAAACTACGACAAAGCTAAAGAGGTTCACGAAAAAGCTCTAGAAATTCGAAAACAATCGTTAGGTCCAAATCACGTTGATGTTGCTGTTTCTTTAAACAATCTTGGTGCGGTGTTTGAAAAAACTGGAAACTACGACAAAGCTATAGAGGTTCACGAAAAAGCTCTAGAAATTCGAAAACAATCGTTAGGTCCAAATCATGTTAGAGTCGCTGCGTCTTTACACAATCTTGGTTTGGTGTATTATGATATTGGAAAGTACGACAAAGCTAAAGAGTTTCACAAAAAAGTACTGGAAATTCGAAAAAATTCTTTAGGTCCAAATCATAATGATGTCGCTGCATCTTTAAGCCATCTCGGTTTGGTTTATGATAAAACAGGAAATCAAGACAAAGCTATAAAGTATTTTGAAAAACCTCTAGAAGTTCGAAAACTGAATGTGCCAGGTGAAGACCATACTCACGTCACTTCGTCTTTCAGGAAATTTCGTACGATGTACAAAGAAACTGAAAAATATGAGTCTCAAAAAACTCAGAGTAAATTTCTAGTTCCAAGTCATGCTCATGTTTCCCTGTCATCAAAATATTTTGGTGAGTTTGTAGGTATTATATACAACATAATGTTGGTGGCTCATTTGCGTTAATGATATTTTGTTAAAGTGCAACTCCGGCCAATTTTCACTCCATCTTTCTTTCGACAAAGAAGAATATATTTTTTTAGAAACATTTTGGTGTATGTTTGAGCATTTTTGGTTTGGTACAAGTTGTTTATTTTTAACGCTAAATTTCGCCACCGGATGCAAGTTTTTACAAATGGATCGTGACGTCATAAGATGTTCCCACCTCGCTAGTTTATTATATTACTATAAACAAATGCCAGCATGGAGAATCAATAATATTAAATTCTTAGTCAAAAATGCGTTTTATTCCGCAAAGTTTGGCAAAAGTATCAAAAAGATAACTATTAATACAAATATTGGTTAATAAATCTTTGGAGAACGCAAATTTGTCACAAAGTTCATCAACGAAGTTTGTTAATGCTGACAGCCATAATAAATATAAATAGTAATCAAACGTATTCTGCCGTTCTTGTACTAAATGTTGGACACTTAGATTATTGAAATAAGCTTGAAAATGTGTAACTCTAAATGATAAAGCTTTCTGCATTGATGTCTCGACCACAGGTGTTGTTGTAACTTGTAATTGTCACAGAAGTGCTAAGAATTCCGTAACTATTAACCATATTCTATATATGGACATTACTGAACTGGAGAATCAGCTCATCAGGGAAAATATACTGGCACAGAGTTTGCATCCGTCAAATCAATAGGTCCATAATTGCTACGGCTATAATATGAATGTGAAATTTAATTCATGTTTTTTGTGTCTAACTCCAACTATTTAAGTACCCTAGCTTATTCATGGTTTTTGATATGTTTCAGTCGGCTAAGAATACATAAAAATTTCATAGTATAATACAAAAAATTTATGGCAATTGAATCTAAAGTCCTGATAAGTGGTTCATTGAGATACATTTTTCAAACAAGCCAAATAATTAAAACGCAGGTTGGATTCATATTTACATTATTCAACAAAAACAATTATTCAAAAATCTACCTATAAACTAAAAACATATACATAAAACCCGCTCTAAAGAACAGTGAGATGGAAACAAAACATTTTAATCAAACAAACATTGCTGAAGATGTATAACAGCTATAAACTCATTGTTAGTTGTAAGACTCTCCAAACCCAGCTTTGTGAAAATTATGTATTCAAAAAATCATAGACTGAAAGATTGACAAACATTGGAAATAAATCAGGATGATTTTGAAAAAGACATATTTCAGCATGCCTATGCTACTTTCAGTGTATTACTTTTACAGCAAGAAAATATTATGTCATTTATACATGTCTTAGATATTAAATTACAGGAGTGAAAGTAGAAATTTTATTACAAGTTAAAATTAGACCTATAATATATTTGTTTGCTGAGATCTAGTTTTATCAATTGCATAATATAAAACATAAATTAATGATTTCAGCAATAAAAATAGCAAAAGCTTGACAAAACATGTATCTAAAATTATCAAATTGTGGTCTTTATGAAATGTTTAACTGCTATTTTGCTCCTAATAAATTATTGAAACTACTTAGACATAGCGTGACTGACATTGATACCAAACATTATTATAGCAATTCCAGTAATTATGTTTCCTGCGGGATGTTTCCCTTATAAAGGTGTTGCAGATGATTTTTTTAACTCTTAGATCCCTTGCAGTTCTTGTTTACTAATTCAAAAATATTATAGCGATCACTTCTTCTCACTCATCTGTTTTCCAGGAATACAGTTCAGTTTCATTTCATAACTGAGAAAAACTTGCGGCGGCGAGTTGATTGATTAATGAAAGTATAGCGCCGAGGTAGGAGTAAACAAGACACATATTGCGATAAAATTTCTATGTTTGACCGATCTCTCTTAATTGCCTCGACTCCGTAAGGAAAGGCAGCCTTCTCAACAAATTGAGTGATTCGGCAAGGATTCCATATACATTAAAGGAAAGAATCGTCAACGAGAAATGAATTCGAACTTCGAAGTAGCTATTAATTAAGCAACCATTCATTTTCTCTGTTTAGGAACAAAATTCGTCGAATTTCTACGCTTTTGGGTGCTTCCATATTCTTTAGGAAACTTTTGAATATATATACATATATACTGTGTATGACGATAATGTATGATTTAAGTAATTCCGGACTTTTCTTTTAACTCCATCAGTAATTAAACAACAACGCTAAAAAATGTGTTAATGTCTGTGTCAGCTTACAATTTTCGTTCTTTGACAGGTTGCATAAATTCATATTACTTTGCAGTAGTTTCCTTGTCCTCAAAAAGATAGCCAACAGCAACGGGTTTTAGCAACCTTTTCTTAAAATTACTAAGATACTCGACAGATTTTGGCGACAACAGCTCGTTAACATTTATCAATATCTGAATTCATTACAACGTCCTTAATAGCCGAGTGTGAGGTCTTTACGGAGAAATATCGGACTGAATTTTTTTGTGCTAAAAACAGAGGTCAGAGATTTCTCAAGAAAGACCGAGCAGGTGATGTTAATAAAAAGAAAATTGGCTATATGATATTATTTGACCTGAGACGAAGCTTTCTTTTCTTTTTCCATTCTTGTTGTTTTACAAGGACAGACTGTCACTCTTCTAGTTTTGCCAACAGAAAATACATAGTTTGAAATAGTGTCGCCTAGACAATAAGACCCACTTTTCCAATGCTCTTTTTTGACTTACATTCATACCATGGTTTTTAATTTTGTTTTTATTTTCGTTTTACAAAACATTTACTGTTTGCTTCATGAAGTTTTGGAAAACACATTACAATAGACACTCCGTATATTGTAAACAATATTTAATCTCGATAAACATTATTTAATCTAGATAAATAATGTTTACTATGTACAGAGTATCTATTGTCTTGTGTTTTACCAAAATACTCTTTGGCAGTCGTAATTCATGAAGTTGGTTTATCTACATTTATTTGTAAAATTACGCCGGATGAAATCTGGCTCATTACGTGAAAATATATATTGCCCTCTCAATAATTCCAATTGTAAGGTCATTTTATTACTTGAAAATGTTGTCATGTAAAACGTAATATTTATCTATATGAGATTTTGGAGCTAATGGCAAAACAAAACGAAATATATAGTTTTAAAAAACTTCTATTCAAAACTTTTCAATTTATTTGGTTATTTCTTTACGAGCGCTAGCTGTAAATTTATTTTTTTACTTGTTGTCAAAATAGAAATACACAGTTTGTGTGGATAACGCTTTTTAAAATATTGTTCGTAGAAATCACAAGTGGTGATGATGCTAAAGCTAAAGATGTCGGAACTTCTCCGTGTGTCGAAAATACAATACAAGGTATGCCTTTCAATTCTAATTTTTTTATATATTGCGTAACCTAAGAATATTTGTTTTGAATTGTATCACAATTCAAGGCATTTGATTGGTATTTATGTGTTTTTATGAAGATTTATTTTATTTAAAATATGATATATACAGTCTAAACGTTCGTTTAATACGTATATTCAATACGGTAACAAGGATATAAATTTTGCTTTTGCTAACGACGTTCAAATAATTTAAATATTAATGTCTACTAGACGGCAGTGCTCAGCTTAACTTGAGAAGTTTTTGTTCACCTCAATAAATCCTGCGTACAATTGTACAACTTTTCCCTATAGTTACTTAGGTACCTTCTCCACAGGGATTAACGTCAACGGTTATGTAACATTTATCAATGTCTGAATTCATTAATAAGCTCTTAATAACCGAGTGTGTGATTGAAGTTTTTCGTGCAAACTGAGCCCCTTAAGGCAAGGTTTGTACTAAAAACAGAGGTCCGAGATTTCTCAGTAAAGAACGAGCAGGCGAGGTTAATAAAAGGTTTATTATATGGCTTTATTTAAACTGAAAGTTTTTTCTTTTCTTGTCTTTGCTTCTTTGCATGGACTGGCTTTCACTACTGTAGTTTTTGCCAGCTGAAAATATATAACATGAAATCGTGTCGTCTACATAATAGAAAACCCAGTGTTCTTTTTTTGACCTACATTTGTACCATGGTTTTCTGTTTTGTTTTTTTTTCGTTTTAAAAAACGTTTGGTGTTTCCTTCATGAAGTTTGTTTAGATACATTTATTTGTAATATTACGCCTGATGAAAGCTGGTCCGTTACATGAAAATAATGGGCACTTACAAGGGGGGAAACCACCTCTCAATATTTCCGTAGACTTGATAAATATCAGTTATATAAAACTGTGTGTAATATATGTATATGAAATTTTGGAGGTGCAAGATTTTGCTCTCCCAATTAAATCTGTTCGGCGCGCTACTATACTATAATGAGCAAAGTGAGATAAAAGATATAGTTTTTAAAAGCTACTAACCGAAACTTTTCAATTTACTTGTCTTATTTCGTTTTGAGAGCTAGCTGTAATTTTTGTATTAAATGGCAGAATAGAAATACACATGCAGATTGTGTGGATAAAATTTTTTAATATATTTTTCTTAGAAACCACAAGTGGTGATGATTTTATTGCCGAAGATGTTGTAATTTCTCATGGTGTTGAAAAGACAAAACAAGGTACGTCTTTCAATTCTATTTTATTTTATATGTATTGCATAACCTAATCATATTTGTTTCGTATTGTATGACAAATCAAGTCATTTGATTGGTATATATGTGTTTTTATGAAGATTTATTTTTAATAATCTGGGGCTGGTTTTTCAAAAGCTTGTTAAAGTAAACCCAGGGTTAAACATGCCTAACCCAGGGTTAATTTTTAACTCTGGTTAGTTTGCATTGCTCGAAACTAGGTTATCTTAAACCTTCGGTTAAAACAAGGGGTAACTTTAATCCTCCTCGCTAGGTGGGTTAAATTACTTAAACCTAGGTTGACATATTATTTTCGTAATTAAAATTCATGACGGAATTTGCTCTTCATTCCCATCTAAATTATATAACAAAATAAATTGTAACGAAATAAATTATATAACAAATCTAATTCTTCAAGCTTTATTTAGATAAGCATCAAAGCTGTGCAATTCATCTACAACAAGTCGTAATTGCTTTGAGGTTCTTTGCTTCGGACAGTTTCGTATAAGATGTATAAGATGGACATTATAATCGAATTGTTGATAAATCTGCAACGGTCCTAACGTTACAACTGCATTGAATAGACCTAGGAATCACTTTAAAACTGGCCACTTTCAATAGATGAAAAACTACGTAATCGATAAAGTCAAAATAACTTTTTTGCAAGCTGGCTTTGCTATTGATTGTGCTGATTGAACTCACATAGTTAATTGACCTTATTTGGATTTGCCTGCTTTTCAACCCAAGGTTAAATGTTTTAACCAAAGGTTAGTTAACCCAGCGCTTCATCCTGCTTTGAACAACCCAATTTTAACTCAGGGTTAGCCGACTTTAGGTTAACGAATTGAAGCTAGTTTAGTTGCTAACTCTAGGTTAAGTTAATCGGCTTTTGAACAACTGGCCCATGATGTATACATGTTGAATTTTCGAACTCCAAACGATCGCTTATTACGTATGTCCAATACTTTATCAAAGACTTAAATTTTGCTTTTGCTAACGACAAATAATTTCGATGAACTGTGTACCAGACTTCAGTGCTTAGCACAACTTGATAAGTCTTTGTTTATCTCAATAAATATTGCGTAGCAGCAAAGTGGCGCGACTCTTTTTATAAAGTGCTTAAATTGACTACATTTCATCAGTTGCATTGAAGAAAAAGTATTATAATAAATAGACTAAAACGTCTTAAAATAAATCTTGATGTAATGCACACCATAGAGATCGGACTCTGCATTTTAGAAGTGTTCAGGTTAGACAATCTGTTTTAAAGTGCTTTAATCTGTTTTAACCATGGCAGTAAAATTTTGTCACTTCACAATTTGTACTTGAAGTACATTATCAGTCAGTTGAAATTAAGATGAGACATGAGGTTATAATGACATCATGCAATTTATTTTTTCAAAGTAACGTTTATTTGTATTCTGCTTGTTTAATCGTAAAAACTTCTCAACAAACTATCCTTTGGATATACGGTCATACTTCACGTTTGCACCACCATGCATACATTACCTAGCTAATAACATTTAAAATTATACAAAAAACGACCACCAACAAATCGAATTGCTCAATATATTTCAATAAATAAGAATTCCTGTTCATTGTAACTAAAATACCTCAAAATCATATGGAAAATGAGCCAATTTGACGATGTGAATTCTCAAAGTTCCACGACCAAAAGAAGGCTATATAAAATTTTCCTATGACAAATGTGGCATTAAATTGGACATTTATTGAACGAACATCTAAATGCTAAATTTACAGAAAATTACAAGTTTTTTTGAGCTCTCTCTTTGCTAAGTATACTGGAGATTACATCTTCAGTGTGAACATCATTCAAATGTCCACAAAGGTCATTTTCTAGCTTAGAATTGCATTTTGAAAGTTGCATAGAGCATTAAAGTTGTTGTATCAGTTTTTTCTACTAGAAAATTTCCCAAAATAAATAAACAAATAACGTTACTAATTACAAAACATAAAAACGGCGATTTCATTCATTGATTTCAATAAATTACTCCCACTGATCTCAACATAAATAAATATAATTATTTCGACTATATTAAAAGAGTAAGTGAGTCCAAAAATCTCATTTATGATTCAAACTGTTTCTTAATTGATGATTGTCAAATGGCATGATCATGTCCTCCATTAAAAAGTGCACGTGAATCAGTTCAAGCCACTTACGACTTAAGCCTCCCGATTAAGCAAGAATAATGCTGCTACTGAAATATCGCTTACAGAACTCAACGGCTGTATCAGGTTTTCTCAGATATTGTAGGACCGACCACTGTAAAGAGGACCGAAACTATAACGTTTAGTGGGGTGGGGAAGGGGGTGTGTTTAATAACGCTGCTGCTGAAATATCGCTTAGAGAACTCAACGGCTATATCATGTTTTCTCAGATATTGTAGCACGGACTACTATTTAGAGATAAAACTATAAATCTTAGTGTGGTGGGTGATGGGGGTGTTTACTAACGCTTCTGCTGAAATAAAGCTTACAGAACACAATGGCTGTATTATGTTTTCTCAGATAATGTAGCACAGACCCGCTCTATAGAGGACCGAGACTAGAACGTTTAATGGGTGCGAGAGAGGTGTATTCATTTCTTCAATTGTGCTCGACTGATTTCTTGTGAAAGCCTACGTAGTCTAAATTAAATGCAATGCAAATATAAATAAACAAATAAATCAATAAATAGACAGGAAGAAGGCTAGATGTAAAATTGATCTGAAAATTTTATGTGAAACTATGCAAAAGATTTTGTCAATTGCTCTCTTTAATTTTATTTATAAGAGATCTCCGAAGGAGAGTTCTTTTATGCGAGAAAATTTTTCAAATTACTAAAACGTGATTGTGGTAGCCAAAGACAATTGAAATGTTCTGCATCACACATAAAATACAAAAAAGATGTTACAACATTTGAAGCCGAAGTTCGATCATTTGCTTGCATCTTTCTTGTTGTTTATCTTGACAATTCTATTATACCATAGCACTACAACATCACGATTTCTTTCACACTCTTCTCAAACTCACAAGAATTTTATCAAAAGGACTAAAAGTTATGATAAGAATTCAAATCGCTTACTTTTTTTGTGGTGTTAAAAATTTATTGAATTGCATGGTTCTTTTCTACCTGAGGAAAAAGTTTTATCAAAATGGAAATTTTCTCGATAACCAAAACGCTGACACAATAGACACATGACAGACAAATTGTTTCTTGTAAATAAATCATCATAAGCTTAGTATAAAATAATTGAAAACTGCAAAAACCATCTTTAATTTGGCAAAGGTAAAACAATACAAGCAATGTTGCACGAGAATAAGAAAAACAGAAGGTAGGGCTTGAGTTTGCAGAAATATAGATAACGAGGTTTACTTTACCAAGGTGAATAAGTAAAACAGTACCTGTATATTAGAGTTAAAGCACAAAATGTCTATAAAACGAAAAGTTGGCAGCCTGTTATATTCTTTAATTGAGCAGAAATTTTATTATGACAACGAAGTTTCTGTACTAGCTTATGCGTATCTCTTTTCGTTCTCAAGATTTTGAAAGTTTTATTATGTTCGATTCATCTAACTTGTAACGTCACATTGTGAGAATAAGAATTATTCGGTACATTTGCAAAAGTTCTGGTCAATGCAAATATAATTTAACTAGCAAAGTTTTCGTTTCATTGGCACTTTAATGGTGTTCAAACAATGTTTGAGAGAATAATTGTTGAGTTTTCGCTGCTGATCGAACTTCAGCATTCATATTTGGCATGAAACATAAGATAGTGTATCTAAAACAGGAGTGTCGAGAATGGAAAGAAAAATTAAATAAAGCTATTTAGTTATCTTCTGCTGTAAACAAATTTTTAGACTCTAAAAAATATGCTCTCAAAATTTAAATTTAATATTTTCGAAAAACGTAAGGTTATTTCCTGAAAAAAATATATGAAATTACTGCAGATAGAAGTTTTTGTGATTAATTGTATGGTATAAGCTAACCTCAAATGTTGCCAGTTTTAATTGCACAATTAAAGAACTTATGATTTGTCCAATGGTTGTTGATACGTTTTTTCAAAAATGTGCGGTAGCTTATAATATCCTTTCCTGATTGGGAAGGTTTAAACTATTTTGACGTATTAATTTCGTTTCTTTCACCCTTGAATGTAATATTGTATCTAATATTTTTAGAATTGGTGGAACTAGAGTGGAAATGCATTGATAAATCAACGAAACATAGAGAATTGTTTTCAAAATTGATTAGATATGGACGCAATTCCAGTGTTGAGGTTAAAGTGGTGGGCAATGTGCGTGTAATTTTCTCAAACGAGTTTTGCATTGGCAAAGGAAGTGATGCAACCCGTGTTTATCTTGGACTGGGTAAGGATGGTTACGGTAAAGCAGTGAAACGAATACATCGAGATAGCTACATCCAGATTGCGCTGCACGAAAAAGAAATTTTGAATAAATTCAACGCAAGAAAGTCGAAATATGTTGTGAATTATTCTTTCCTAGAGGAAGAGACTGGAACAGAATATGTATATTTGACATTAGACTTATGTGAAGAATCATTGGAGAGTTTCGTAGAATCTTCTACTTTATATGATCTTCAAAAAGCTCTTCCCAAAATTCTTAGACAAATTTTGCAAGGATTAGCTGATCTTCATAGCGGCCCAAATCCTATTCTTCATCGTGATTTAAAGCCCTCCAATGTTCTCCGAGACTCACAAGACAACTTTCTGATAGCTGACTTTGGCATTAGTCGAATATTGAAGGAGGGTTCTACTACTTATGAAAGCAAGCCTAACATGGGAACTGAGTATTGGATTGCTCCTGAATCATATTGTGAAGATAAAGATACAGTCGACAAAGGACGGTACAAGAAAGAGTCTGACGTATATGTAAGTGTAGGAATATGACCATTTGCACTACATGCATGTACAAAGTCAATTTGTAACATCACATTGTTAATCTTTCTAGAATGCAGGATTGGTAAGTTATTATATTGCAACAAAAGGAAATCACCCGTTTGGAACTAAACGGCATAGATTGGACAAAATGTTAAAAGGACACCCTGTTGGCTTGGACGAAATCAAGGATGAAGCACTAAAAGACCTTCTGTCGTGGCTGTTAAACCGAGAACCCGAAGACAGGCCATCAGCTACCGTGGCGTTAAAACATCCATTCCTTATGTCGGATGACGAGAAATTTGACTTATTATGTAAAGTTGGAAATCTTCAGCAGATTAAGACAAACGATCCCCTGTGTAGTGTCGTTCAACATTTGAATAGTGAGTCCTCAGATTGGAAAAGTAAAATAGACAGTGATGTTTATGATTATTTTAGAACGGACGTGGTGACTGGAAAGATTTTTACATATGACTCTTCATGGACAGAATGTTTAAGACTTATTCAAAATATTGACCAGCATTGGAAGGATCTAACAAAGCGAAAACGAAAACCAGAACCATTTTATAAGATTGGCGATTATAGGGCGTATTTTCTCCAAGCATTTCCTAATCTTCCTGTTCGGGTACATGCTGCTGTTAGGTCAAATGAAGAATTGAAGAACGAGCCAGAACTCAAGAACTTTTTTCCTTTTGATGAATGCAAACTACAACAAAAAAAAATTTAGATACAACAGAACCTGCTGGGAGTAAAAAGTAGCAATTAAGAAATCATTGATACTGTTGAGATCTTATTTTATAGATATAAAGAAAAACAGTTTCCACGACGTATTTAGATGATATTTCACCACATATCAGTGCAGCCAAGCATAAAAGTTAACTTTTAAACATAATAAACTCGTATACGATAAATAATTGTTTTTCTGAAATCATTATAATTACTAAAAGTCTGGCCTTGATGTTTTTGACTCTTGGGAGCACCTTATCGTATGAAACTGACCATTAGAAGTTGTGCATAATTCCATAAGTAGAATCTTTTGTGTTTTACTATCTCACATTAATTGCGTAGCTGTCAATATAAAATAGTTGAATTATATAACATTTTCATGAAATTGAATAAGTGACAGCATTTCGTCTAATGTTTTGTGTATGAACTCAATATATTTGAATTAGTTTTACATAAAAATATTCATAGTTGTCATTATTTGCTGATATTTTGCTTATTTCATGCACTCTAACCCTGACAATTATTTCGTGCCTAAATCCATACAACTAAAATGCAAGTGCTGTGTATTTAAGATCTCTTAAATGAAGATTGAATATACACCTAAATACACGTAAGGTTAACTACGGCGCTCTCTATTGCCTACATTCTAATGAATATCATCTCAAGCAACATCTTAGCGCTATCATAGACTACATCAAGTACATTTCAATGAAAAAACTTATAATGATCGCTGGTTATGTTATGAGATCAGTAGGTAATCTAGTAAATCTACGAAAGAGATCAAGAAGAATATATGACGTAATTTTGAATGAGATCTTGACGGTCGACAAATACGAGTTGCATTGACGTATGGGTAAAGCATAAACAAAGTCTACGACGGAAAGAGTCAAAATTCGGTAACCTTCACACCTCGTTAAACTGTTTGAAGACAAGGACATCACGGTGTTGAGTTTACATTTGTTAATTTTACCTGCAAGATATTGGCTGGTAAAGGTAGGAAGAGAATAAAAGAGATTATACGGAAGTGCGTCGTGTCTAAGAGATGCCAGGAATAACGTTACGTAATCCTGAGACTCATGATTTACCAGAATGCAGACTGAGAGTGATAGACGAAGCGGTACCACTTGACGTGAAGATGAAGAGAAAATCCTTGACAAATCACTTTCAAAAAAAGTCAGTCGGGCAAAACTGACTACAGTCCTGGACTACGATCAAGTTATGTTATTCAAGTGACACTTTTATATCATCTGCTTCTCGCGGGCAAAACTATGGAAATGGTAAGTAGAAAATATGGGGATGGTGCAAAACCCAAACAAGGGGAATCTGGCTTACTCTCAGCTAACAAATCCTGACGATTAAAGTGCGCGTGAAAGTTCGATACGAAACTCCCAATGATTTATCTGAACTTCTAGTCGATGTATAGAAAACTTAGATGTCAATGATAATCTTATAAACCGCGATGCTAATATCGACATTTTATAGATGACGACTTTTTGAGGAAAATGGTGATCTGGCAAGACAGTTGAGTCTGTAAAACTCATTCACTGCCTTCGCGATGTACATAAATGTATCAATATACCCACACCATTGTTTGTATTCAGTCAGAATTATTTTATTTGGATAAGAATAAACTCGTCTCTGATAAATATCTTGCCGATGTAAGCTTAGACGTTTATCAAAATATCATTAAAAATTGTGATAAATCTTCAGGCTTTCTTAATTCTTCACAGAAATATTTGAATTTACCATATAGATATAATATTTTTTGCCAAGAAATTGCCCGTATGGTATCAATTTTTGAAATTAGACCTTATTATTCACTAAATTTACTCTTATATAAAGTTGTTCTAATCTAATGTATTAGGTATGTCAAAAACCATGCGTTGTTCACGTGTTCTTCACATGGTTGCTCATATGCTTGTTCACGTGCCGGAAATCATATGACATTTAATATATCATTCGTTCATACCTTTACATCATTCATTAATACGCTCGTAGTGGGAGCGTTGTCGGTGTGTATGAAAATACAAATGAGAGCAGCAAGGATTGCGTTTGTTTTTTTAAAGGCTTCTCTCAACGATCTTTTACAGTCAGTTAAATGATCTCGTGTCATTACAAAGTGGTCGACTGAACAAACGAGGATATTAACATTATTTAAACGACGTCAAAACATAAACAATATATAAACCACTTGCCCTGAAGGTAAGAAATGTTTTTTATCTTCAGTTATGCTTACTTTGCATGAATTATACAATGATTACCATCTCAAATCCGATAGACTTGGAATAGCATCAGTATTACCACTACAAAAAAGTATTTTACACTTCATATAAAGTAAACATTTATTCGAAACGTTTCGTCTAGTCTTACATACTACCACATATTCGGGGAATGCTATAACCCGGGCGATGATCGGGGACGCGCCTATTAAATTCCTGGTCAGCGGCAAAAGCCTTGACATAATAATCGCTATAAGTACAATATGTTTCTTGTATAAAATTTCATAACACAAATCAACACAAAGTATACAGCACAGCGCCCACATTGGCTTTTACAAAATATGCGGTCTTTTTTATAACGAATGTTACTGCAAACGCGCATTGTGAAGTATATTATTCTTTGTTATTGTGCTTGCTTGTAATATGTTCTATAAGATATTGATGATGCTCAAAAGTATTCTAATCCTAATTATTCTGCTCAAAACCTGTCGTCATTTTTATAACAAATGTTGCTTCAAACGCGCATTGTGACGTTAAATTTACGTATGAGATTAAATCTAGAAGCTACTACTTAGATCATAGGAAATGGCCTATCCTCAATGCCTATACTCATTATGCTGAATATTCGCGCACTTTTCATTCTTACGTATATGTACTTGCGTTTTTCAAGTGCTTTATCGGTCTCGCCTTAACTGCACCTAGATAGCCTATCTTTAATTTATATGTTCAATATTCGCGCACTTTTCATTCTTACGTATAGGTACTTGCGATTTTCAAGTGCTTTATAGGTCTCGCCTTAACTCCACCAAGTTAAGAAAAAATATAAAAACCTCGCATCAAAAGTGAAAAAAATAGTGGGCACATTACTGGCTCGTGGAAAGAAATTCATATAAAGACGTATAAGCGTTCGAGTGTTTGCTGTGGCTCATTATTAAACATTTCAACAGACTAAAGTATATTAAGGAACAAATTTCGTGTTTCATACTCAGTATATGGCGCAGACAATTCTTCAGCGTGAATCTGCAGAATGCTCAAATAAACAAGTAAACTTCCTTAGAGAAAAACTCGCAAGTGTGCAAATTCTGGAAAATTACTGCACAGGATACATTGATGGAACGGTGGAGCAAATGGAAGAACTTCTTGAACTGTTTCAGGTCTCGTAGTTTGTTTTCAATTGTTACACCATACTGCAAACAATTTGTAACATATTCCGAAAAACATCATCATGTAAACTCAAAATTTCAGTTATAATAGCAAGAAACAAAATCTAAAAGCCATAATTTGACATTATTTCATAGTCATTATAAAGCTAATATAGCTAAGTTTACAAGATCATGTTTTTTGAAGTATGTTTTATAATTTATTTCTTCAAATTGTCGGCGTGAAAAGGTTTTTGTAATTGTTGAACAGTTAACTTTCAAAGGCCGTAATACGTAAACCTTGATAAATTGATTTCACGTGTTAATATATTTGAAAAGTGAAAGAGGTTTTTGAATTTAGGTAATTGATTCTATCTCGTTTGTGAAAGCTGACAACCACTCAAAAACAAGGGGCAATAAACGTTTTTCACTTACAGGTAATCAACTTAACCGCATCAAGCATCTTACCCCAAATTAAAGCGAGAAAACACCAAGAAATTTTCAACCAACGCATAAATTGGGCAGCCTAGCCGGCTACATCCCCCTTCTTCAATATTGCATGACCAATTAACATTTTATAGTCGCAAAGACATTCCATTATGGAGTTAGAAGAATCGAATCTAACAGTCATTTCTATCTATATTAGCAAAAAACTCATTAGGAAAAAACCGTTCAATGACTCGCCAATTATTTTGCTATCTCTTTTAAATACATTTTATTATCTAACACATCCGCATAGCTTAGCATAATAAGAATGTTTTACTTGAAGACAAACAAAATGCTGAAAAAACATATCATTTATTTTTTCTAGCACCGCCAGTGTTTGAAAGCAAGAAGGGAAATATTCCAATTGAGTTTTTTGGAAATCCGTTTTTCATTGTGAGCAACGAAACAAGACATTGTTTACATGGGAGCGCGAAAGTATGTATTCTTCGTTATGATATTTAAGATTTATTTGTGCACAATTTATCTTGACACCACACTGTTTTATTTTAACAAACTTCTCAGGACAGCAGAGGCACACGCAGACACGACGTAAAAAGTGACCATGATTATGAAGAAAAGGGACGGATTCGATTACAGAACAGTAGAAAACTGGATTGTCCAGCACAAGTGCAAATAAGACAAGTCAGAGTATTTCTCGACTACTACATCGATCGAGAACAATTTACATCAGAAAACAGCTTGGTTATGGCAAAACGGAGAGTATTTAGAGAGATTAAAGGCTGCTTTCCACTGTTGCGTTTTTTTTCCGTGCGTACAGTACCGCTCGCGTATTTGTTAACATACGCTACGCGTATCATACGCGTATCATACGAAAAACATACGCGTATGATACGAGAACGATACGCGTATGATACGAAAAGGATACGCGTATGATACGAGAACCATACGCGTATGATACGAAAGGGATACGCGTATGATGAGCGTATAATGCGTGAAGGATAAGCGTACGTATGATACGAGGATGAAACGCTGTGATACTTGATAGAACTTTGTTCATCGTAATGAGCAGCAATTTTGCTTTCAAATTGTTAACGATTTCGTTGGTTTTGATATTGCTTACGTAGTATACCTGGTATGGAATTCTATGTTATTTCACTATTTTTTCAGGATAAATTTTGGTCAACATTTAAAGCTAATGTTTTATGTACTTTCAGAAATCTGTGTAATATTTTCTTATCGACTTTAATGTTTTATTTAAGGCGTTTATTATATCACGACGAAACGTGCCTTTTATTAAAATACGATTCGATTCATACGAATAGAATGCACGTTTATTAATAACATGCTTATATGGATGTGCATCTTGCAACATCAACAATCGAATCCAACTACGTTGTAAATTCACATTCACAACAAAGTTCCTCGTCTACTCGAGAAATACAGAATAGCCAACTGTCACTTGATAGACTTTATAGGCAATTGGCAAAAAGCCATATCATAATAAATCGTTTGAGCGCGGTGCTCTGTAAATTTTAGAGATTTAGATTCAGCGCTCAAAGGAGTAAAATTCGATATACGCGATACGCGTATCGTACGGCAAAAAAATGTTTTGTCGCATGAAACCACTATTCATTCAATACGGACACTATCAGAGATTGCAGACGTAGATACGCACGTGTTAAAACTAATTTGTCATGTCTGCGGGGACACGTTTATCACCTTATGCCCAGGAAAGAATACTAATATTAAGTAAGGAAGGAAAGAAATACACTGAAATTAGCCGCGAATTAGCATCGAGCAGTTGTCCTGTAAGCAGACAGACTATTTCAGCCGTTGTCAGAGGTTCGAAAAAACGAAGAAACGTTTTCTCGCCCCGACGGTGTGGAGGAAATAAAAACCATTGAAACCATATACGAGAATATTAAGAAAGTAATACGGGTATGACACGAGAAAGACATGCATATAAAATGAAACGATACGCGTATGATACGAGAAGGATACGCGTATGATACGAGAATGATACGCGTATGATACGAGAAGGATACGCGTATGATACGAGAAAGATACGCGTATGATACGAGAACGATACGCGTATGATACGAGAATGATACGCGTATGATACGAGAAAGATACGCGTATGATACGAGAACGATACGCGTATGATACGCGTATCATACGCAAAATTATGTTAACAAATACGCGAGCGGTACTGTACATCCATAGATAAAAACGCACGGATTTTTAATCTCCAGTGCTGCGTTTTGCGTTGTGCATAAATTTAATGCGTGCTGCAATTCAAAATGGCGTCGAAAGAGGAGCGAAAATTAGCAATTCTACTTTTGCTTCGCCAAAGACGAAAACGAAGGAATAAATACAAAAAAAGATTTTGGATTGAAGATATTTTAAAGCGGCGAAAAGAACTGGGGGAATACCATCGGCTCATTCAAGAAATGCGGTTAAATGATCCTGAATCATTTTATCAATACTTTCGGATGACCCCTTCGCGGTTTGATTTACTTCTTGGTCTGGTTGGGCCATACTTGAAAAAGAATTCTTTATACCGCGAGCCTGTGAGTCCTGAAGAACGCCTCGCTGTTACTCTTCGCTTTTTAGCAACAGGCGACTCTCAACAAAGCATAGCATTCAGTTTTCGACTTGGCCATGGTACTGTGACCAAAATCGTAGAGGAGTCTTCCGAAGCTTTGTGGTCTGCGTTGCAGCCGTTTATCAAGCCTCCAACGACAACAAGCGAATGGAAAAAAATCGCAACAGATTTTTGGCAGTTGTGGAACTTCCCAATGTGTTGCGGTGCCATTGATGGCAAACATGTAGTCATGCAATGTCCCCCTCGGGCTGGTTCGTCATTTTTAACTATAAAGGTAAATAAGAGTTCTTAGATAACGATATACATTGTAAATTTGCTGCTTACATGTTGGACAGGTCAAGTGAAACTGCATGTTTGTGAATATTGTAATTAAGCGAGTATGATTTTTTAACAATTTTTTATTTCATGTAGGAACACATAGCATTGTTCTGTTAGCAGTTTGTGATGCTAGGTACTTGTTTACTCTAGTGGAAATTGGCAGCTCAGGCAGAAATAGTGATGGAGGTATTTTTGGCGAGTCTAAAGTTGGAAGAGCCATTGAAGATGGCAGTTTAAAGTTACCATTTGCAGATCCCCTTCCAAATATATCAACAGAAGTTTGCCCATATTTATTCACTGCTGATGATGCATTCCCCCTTAAACCATGGATGATGAAACCCTACCCAGGAAAATTTCTTGATAAAAAGCTCAAAATATTCAATTACCGTCTGTCACGAGCAAGGAGATTTGTTGAGAATGCATTCAGAATCACTGCAGCTAGGTGGAGAGTGCTAAGAAGACCTATAATGGCTTCAGCTAAAAAGGTGGCAAGTATAACTAAAGCAGTCTGTGCACTTCACAATTACCTAATGTTAGAAGAATTCGGTATTCCTAATTCATCAAAAAGGTATTGCCCAGCTGGATTTGTTGACACAGAAGACAGGTATAATTGCTATTTTCTCCTGTTAAAATAACTTAAATCTTGAGCTTATAAAATGATATTTTTTTTCTCTTAGTATATTTTATCTTATAGTTACTATAGTATATGCAAGTTTTGAATGCCTGTATCTAATTTTAAGTCAGTTGGTTATGGTCTTATCATCTTAAGCATCTACCACTAGTCATTATATGACATGTGCATGATAATACAACTAAATGAAATTGCCACAGTGTTCGACAACCTAAAATGTTATAACTAAAGAAATTTTTATAGGTATGAACCTGCCAGGAGGATGGCGATCTTTGACAGGAGACACGGGTCTGCAACAAATTTCACGACAAGGAAGCAATAATTATTCACGAAATGCCAAATCTGTGCAAAATTTACTGACGAATTATTTCTGCTCACCAGAAGGGGAAGTGCCTTGGCAATATGCCTATGTGCAAAATAATGGTAGACAAGAAAAATAAACCTGTTTCTGTAAAACAATTTTATATTTATAACATCATCTTATTAATAAGTTATATTAATTTAATTATCAAATGTAAGTTTCAACTGAACAAAAAATAAATCTGTTTCTTACAAACATCAAGGACTTTTCTAAGTTCTTCATAAGGACACTTCATTTCACTTTACATCCTTCTCATGCTAGCTGTTTGTTGACATTGAAGAGATTGCTTCACTTAAAACAATTTGAATTTTACTCATTGCCTTACTTTTTGCTTCTTTATCCAACAAATGTAGCTGAGCAGCAACACTTTTACCAAATGCATCTTCTAAAGTTACCACAGCTGATTGATTTTGCAAGGATTTCTCACCACCAGATATATATTCCATGATTTTTACATCCAAGGCCCGATCAAGTTGCTTTTGTGACATTGCTGCATAAGACCTTTTCTTACTTGGTTTTTTTGAAGCAACATTTTGAACGTTTTCAATAGTCTCAAATGAAGGGAAAGATTCTTCTTGAGAAAATGCCTCAACACCAACTGTTAAATCATCAGTAGGAGGTTCAGATGTTGTGGTAAGTGGATCTTGGCATGGACTTGAAAGAGCTTGCTGAACAACTGGTTGGAAATTGCTGTCCGAATTCTTTGTTCGAATATTAACAAAAGGTTTTAGAAATGACAGTGCCAAAAGGTATGGATAATGTGGAATTTCATCCACACCTGCTCCACTTTTTTTCCCATTTCCACTTAACACACGGACATATGAATCGCGTAGGTTTTTCCAAATTCTGTCTTTGTAGTCGTTTACTGGGTCAAAAAATATTTTAGAATACACTTAGCGTTTATTACAACACAACACAACATATGCATTTATATTACCTGAATACGTTGATTCACAGGCTCCATTCACAGCATCAGTCACTATTTGCCACGCATTTTCCTTAATATTTTTGTTCTTATAGTTAGTGTCTTGTGTATTCCAAAGCGCTGGGTATTTTTCAATTTCTTCAATAAGTTTCTCCTCAACTTTTGTATATTTTCCCATCTTCTTTCAACTTGTAAATCGATTGGCAAAAGCATACTTCACTGTAAAGCACGTGATCTGTAAATTCATTTTCATTGGATAATTGCTCGCGTTTTTCAATTTTGCTGCGTAAAAGTTAAGTTGTGCTCAACTTGTGCGTTTACGCGCTTGGAGGATACGTACGGAAACGTAAGTGTACGCGCGTTGAAAAACGCAACAGTGGAAAGCAGCCTTAAGGAAAAAATGGATAACGATTCCTCCTCACAACTTCGCGCCAGCAGTCGATTTTACCTAAAAATACCTCTTAGTAGTGCTCATTCAAGTCACGCCATTGGTGCCACGGCAACAGTTGGGCAGCGAATGGATTACCGACTGGTCACGAAAGTTTATAGTTTGGTAAAACGCAATGTAATTAAAATCTCAGAAGTCAAAAGATGTCTTGATCAATACGTTGAAGAGACTTTATTTCCACAAGACGGACAAAAGGCTACACCACACAAGACAAATAAACGGTACTATCCAAATAAAAAGGATATTCGAAACCACGTAGCAAAAGCAATAGAGTCCCTTAAGGACTGCAAAGACGATCAAGAGTCCCTGCGCAGGAAGGTAGAAACCTGGAAACAGAATTCTCCAAGCAGCAAGTTTTTCTACCGCACAAGAGATAACGCTTCCAGAAACGATATTCCTCCAAAGGAGGATAAAAAGTTTTTGTTTGTGCATCAAGAGCATTGGCAACAACGAATGTTGATTCGTTATGGCGAACAATTGTGTCTCATGGACGCCACATACAAAACAACAAAGTACGCAATACCGCTTTTCTTTGTGTGCGTTCATTCAAACGTTGGCTACAAAGTTGTGGCTGAATTTATGTGCCAGACGGAGACCGACTATTATAAAAGGATGGAATCCAGTATGGAACCCAAAATATTTTATGGTGGATTACTCATTAGCAGAAATAGGCGCGATAGAAAAAAGTTTTCACGATGTACAGTTTTATGTTTGCGACTTTCACAGGCTGCAAGCGCTAAAACGGTGGGCTTCAGCAAGCAAGAATGGATTGTCATATGAACAGCAACAACACTTCCTTCTGCAAATGAAAAAGTTTGCTAATGTCAGTACCAAACAGGAGTACGACAAGGCAGTAAAAGATTTTCGAGAGTCCAAAGTGTATAAAGAATGCAGCAAGATGAGAGAATATGTTGACCGTACGTGGTTTTCTTGCGCTGTCAGATGGGCACACGCTTTTCGAAAACAGCAAGTCACCAACATTGTTAATACTAACAATGGCGTTGAGGCTCAAAACAGAGTCTTTAAATACGAATACTTACACCAAAGTATTGACAAATCTGTGTATGGTATTGCGGTGATGTTGGTTGAATCTTTCATTCCCGATGTTCTTCAGCACTATTTGGATGCAAACCTGCGACTGAGCAGCGCCTACTGCAAGTACAACCCATCAATCCCAGAATACTTGCACAACAGACCTCCGCACTTTTTGAAATGTTGCCTTAAAAATCGATACGCTTCAGCCATTTTCAAACAGGACGACATAACTCCGGTTAATTTAAAGAAGGGCACGTTCAATATCAAGAGCGAGAGCAATGTTGGAAAGAAACATTTCATAGACTTCCGAGAACCAAGTTGTACCTGCAACATATGGCACACTACCCATTTGCCTTGCAAACATTTTTTCGCAGTTTTTTCCTTCTATGACGAGTGGGATTTCGAAAGTCTTCCAGAAGACTACCGAAATAGCGTTTTCATCACTCTTGACAATGAACCTCTTGGATTGCCACAAGATACTACGCCAGAAGAACTAGAGGAAGCCAATACGTCATCATGGAGCACCATCAAAAGAGACGTTGTTTTGCAAGAATCGTTGTCTTCTGATAACAAAAAATATATCCACGACATACCCCACGAAGAAACAGTTAAGTTTGAAACTACTTCAAACAAAAGTTCCAAAAGGCTGAGAAAGATCTTGCAAGAACAACTGGGCCAAATACACAGTATGACCTTCCTGATCGACAACGAGACCACTCTACAAGAAGCAGTGCAAAAAGCTGAAAGCTTGAAACAGTTTCTTGAACAAAACTTTCCCACAGAAAATGGTTTGCCTCTTCGATTGAGTCCTGTGAAAAAAAAATTAAAGGTTACCGAGACAAAATACCATAAAATCTTTCATAAGGCTCTACCTCCCAGACGACGCAAGACAAAAAAGTCTACACCATTTACAATAGATCTTACTAATGTGGGCGATGAAATGGCACAAGTAAGACAAGTTATTGAATTGCTTTCTTGTCATTTCTTAAAAAAGCTTCTCTCAAATGATTACTTTTATGTTTAAAAAATTTCTTATCCGTCCGAAAAGAGTAAAAAGACAAAAGCACTTATCTTACTTTCCAATATCTTATTAAAGTATTGTTTCAAAAGTAATTTTCACCAGCCATTAGATATACGATACGAAGGGCATCACCAAATTGTGGGTTTTTGTCTTCTAAATCGCACTCATTTTTGCCATACTCGAAAACAACGTTTGAAAAAGTTGTTCGTAATTCTTTAGATTACATCTCGTCACGAGTATTTTCTGAAAGTAGTCTTTTTATTTTCATAGGTGTCCACTAATGTGCAAAACCAGGAGAATGAAAAAAGAAATTCAAGCAGGTACAAACATGTAGCAATAGAGAAATATTGAATGGAGAAAAATTTTCCAAAAATATTTGTGCAATGATGAGAGGGGGGTAGTAACATTTCAGTGTAGCATTTATATTTACTATGTAGTAATTATTTAATATGAGTGAGGAGTATACCATTACACATAGTCCACTTTTCTTTTCCTAAATGGCAACTGTAGTGTTGACGTCTCAGCTGAGCACAAGGCAAATCCACTGGATCGCTTACTGAATGCCTCTCTAAATGGAATTAAGTTAGGTGATCAAATGCTAGAATTTGGACCAAACAAAGTGACTCTTTAGGATTTATGGACCCTCATTCCACCAAATGGGATGACTAAATATGCTGCCACACTAATTGAAAATAAAACTGTGGCACCTGGATGGCTTAGTGATACAGTAAGTCAAGTGATTAAACACTCTACAGCTTGCATATGATTATCATGCATCAGAGACAAATGTTGAAATGGTAAATGAGCCTGATTGTTATAGGTTATCAACGCTTTCTTATGGAAACTTTCATGTGAATATCCTGGTGTCCTACCAGCAGAATCATATGTATGTCAGTTGGTGCAACGAGGATCTAGTACATGTCGACTGTGGGCAGATCAAAATTTCATGGCAATTGACAAAATAATATTTCCTCTCAATATGTCTGGGAGCCATTGAACACTTTTGGTAAATACAATATGGATACAACATAGCTAAGACAAGGCAACAAATTTTTATTATTTTCAATATTGTCACTTTTAAAGGTAATCGACAAAAAAAAGAGATGGTATACTACCTTGATCCTATGGAAGGTCATGTAGAAGAAGTTATCAGCGAAGCAACAGGAGTTGAACTTTCACAGTTTATCAAAAGCATTTGGTAAGTATACATACATTACTTCCTTGACAAATACCAGTATTTGAAATTCCAATTCAATGAATCACTTCAATGTCTTGAATACACACAGCAACATTGATATAGTGCAGTTGATAATATAATCCCTTTGTTTATAAAGTGCCCTTGTTGATCTAAAAAGTGGGTGGAACACATCAACTTGGTCTATTATTCAGCCTTCACACTATGTGCAAGAGGATGGGTTTAACTGTGGAATAATTATTTGCCTGGTAGTTGTTTTGACATTGTGTTCTAAGAAATAACAATTTAAAAATCTCTTTTATTTTTATCATTTCAGTTTGTTGAATATCTGAGTCAAAATCTTGACATAAATGCAAAGTTTGACATGAGAAAAGTGAGGCAGCACGTGACTTCAACGATTATGGGTTCTTGCTATGATGACATTTATGAGTAATAACAAAAAAATTATATTTTTTTAAATATTTTAATAAAAGGGGCAAATTATAGATTTTATTTAATTGACAAAAACATTTAACTAGACAAAAACATTAAAGTCGTGATTTATTTGTTGGAATTATCCATAAAATCAATCTGACATTTGTAATGTTATAAATTGTGTGCTTGTTTACTATACCATAAGTGAAATGTGTAAAATGTATTTTATTAGGAGAAATAGTTTGGTATGCAAGATTAGCAAGATAGATGATGGTGAAGACTGGTTGGGATGTGATTCATGTGGGCAGTACTTTCATGCAAGTTGTCTGAATGTTGACTTTGGACAAACTCTGACAGAGTACTTTGCTTGCCCATAATCAGACATGACAATTGTATAATAATACAAAACATAAATTGTAAGATTTAAAAGTGCCGAATAAAAAAGACTTACCGATTAGAATACTCTTGAGCATCATCAATATCTTTTAGAACATATTACAAGCAAGCTCAATAACAAAGAATAATATACTTCACAATGCGCGTTTGCAGTAACATTCGTTATAAAAAAGACCGCATATTTTGTAAAAGCCAATGTGGGCGCTGTGCTGTATACTTTGTGTTGATTTGTGTTATGAAATTTTATACAAGAAACATATTGTACTTATAGCGATTATTATGTCAAGGCTTTTGCCGCTGACCAGGAATTTAATAGGCGCGTCCCCGATCATCGCCCGGGTTATAGCATTCCCCATTGGTCACTCGCTCTCTTCCACAATAAATGAACGATCGCTACAAATAAAACAAGCAATTAATATTGCTCATATCTACGGTGGCCTATAAGTGTCACGGCAACATTTGAATACAAAAATCTCACGGCAACATTTGAATACAAAAATCTCACGGCAACATTTGAAAACTCACGGCAACATTTGAAAACTCACGGCAACATTTGAAATCTCACGGCAACATTTGAAATCTCACGGCAACATTTGAAAACTCACGGCAACATTTGAATACAAAATCTCACGGCAACATTTGAAAACTCACGGCAACATTTGAATACAAAAATCTCACGGCAACATTTGAAAACTCACGGCAACATTTGAATACAAAAATCTCACGGCAACATTTGAAAACAGCAATCTCACGGCGACATTTGAGCTTTGCGTTAGCCACACTGACCTGTATATTAACTTGGATGAATATTGATGAAATCTTCAAACCAATATGGCTGACGAACATGAAAGCAAGAATGTTTTGTAAGTTTATATGTCTATTATTTCGAGCTACGGTCTAGTTACAATATTTTTATGAAAGAATTACTATTGAATCATGCACTTGCTTCTTTTTACAACATGCTTTTTTAACGTTATGTCTTAGCATAGCTAAACTTTCAAAATAATACAACAAATTAATTTGATTTAGTTTTTGTGGGGTCTGTTCTGCAGAACTGAAAGATGGAATAAAATACTGTTGGAAGTGTCGAGCTGACCAAACAAAAATTTGTCCACCTTCAAGTTGTGAGCCCTCAACGAGTATTGTTTGTGGAGATAAACGGAAATCACCTGCAGATGGTCTAACCCAGCTGTCATTTGGCAGGCCTAAGAATGCGAGTAAAGTACTCACATTTGAGCAGTTTTTGAAAAAGAAAACAAGCAAAGAGAACTGTGCACATTTTCGATCAACTAAGAAAGCTAAATCTGACCCAAATGAAGAAGTAACATTATTTATTGGACTAAAGAGGTTTAAAGATGGTTCCCTCAAAACGGTTAAAGGGAAAAGGCTCCCAATTCGTGTTCCAAAATCAGCTCCATACAAGATAATATTGCAAAAAGCCATTGAAAAAATGACAGCATTTGATAGATCTTTTGATGGAAAGGAAAGATATGAGTTATTGTTTGAAGACGGAAGCTGTGCACTTTTCATGCCTGGTTCAAAAAATTTCTTTGAACTGGAAAAGTACAAATTTGAAATTGGAAGAGATTATAAACGCATAACTTTATATTTGTGCACTCAGTTTGACATTGATCTGAATGAAAGCATAACTCATACCTCAAATGAATCGGATGAATCAACTGATGAGGAAAATCATCAGCACTTCCATTTGCATACAGAATCAATTTCAGAAGATAATGAATCCACAATTTGCAAGACAAAGGCAAGTGTAGTTGAATCTGCTACATGCACTAGTAAAGATGAAGAAATAGCTAGGCATTTGCAACTGCAATGGAATAAAGAAAGTGAGTTTGCTTCAACATCCAAGTCTCTTGATTCAGAAAACTTAAAAATCATTGCAAATGCAGACTGTTCCTTGATACATGATAAGCAAGATGTCATAAATGCTCTCTCTTCAAAAGTGAATGATAGTGACCAGTTTTTCATAACTACACAAAGAAAGGCAGATCTCGCAAGAATTTTTTCACTTTGGCAGCGTCAATCAAAGAAAAAATTACCGACCAATAGAATAATAGTAAAGTACTGTGGAGAAGCTGGAGTCGATTCTGGAGCCATTGCAAAAGAATTCCTTTCAGATACAGTTGCAAACATATCGACAAAGCTATTTGAAAATGGTGTTCCTATTAACTCCACATTTCATGTCCAAAATGGAGACTTTCGCACAAGTGGCGAGATAGCTGCTGCATCTCTTGCACAAGGTGGGCCACCACCATGCTTCTTGGAAGAATGTGCCTACAATTGCATCTTTGCTGAAATTGATTTGACCAAAGTTGATGATAAATATTTAACTGAAAAAGAAAAAGAAAAACTTTATGACATTAGACTTGATTGTACCAAATACTGTGATTTCATTTTGGATAATGGCTACACTGGAGTTGTTGACAGAAGTCATGTTGAAGATATTATAAATTCCCTGAAAGTAAAGTTTGTTAGCAATCGCATACTATACATGAATGAGTTTAAAAAAGGTCTGGATGTTTATGGACTTGGAGATATGATTATGAAAAATCCAGATGCTTGCTGTTCTCTTTTTGTGAAAAAATTTTGTGCTGATATGGTTCCTGATGCAGATTATCTTTTTTCTTTGGTTGAACCTGTGTTTTCAGAGGAAGGATCTTCAAGGCGAGCCTTAGAACACACTATAGTGGACAACCTTCAAGATTTTTTTATTTCACTAGAGGACACATTAGTACCGGGGTATTCAACAGCAGTTGCTTGGAAATATGATGAAGAAGAGAAGGTTAACATAAACACAGAAGAATTATTTGAAATGCCAGAAATGTCTGTAAAAGGTGTTATGGGATGGCTCACTGGCCAAAGACATAAACATATTCTACCTAAAGAGAAACCTTCGATTACTCTAAATTTTGACCATGATTGCCTGGTAAGAAATCCAAACCACACGATGTGTTTTCCGTTAGTTGGAGCTTGTGGGAGAGAGCTAACCATACCAGTTGTACATATGTGCGAGTCAGGGAAGTTTAAAGAAATTTTTGTCATGGCATATTGTAAAGGTCAATCATTTGCTAAACCATGAATCAAAAGAAGATTGACATTTTAAAATCGAGAAAGAAATATGTTCACATTTGGTTAAATTTTTTAATGAACTGTTTTACATGAACTATTAATAAGCTGGAGAACTTAAAATTAGAGCCCTCTAATGAAACTAATCTTGTCACTTATGTTAAAGTTTTGTTTTCATTTTAACAACAATAAGCTTAGTAAATCAGTCAGAATTTGTTATTGATAAAAATCTATGCTATTCTCAGTCCACAATGTTTGCATGCCGTATTAGTGTAACAAACAATTCTAGAGCTTGCCTCCAGTGATGGGGTTTCTGTAATGAGCAATTTTCCATCACATACAAAAAATATCTCTGATAGTTGTTTGGTGCATCATGTTCACATATGATATGCTCTCTAGCATATAGTCTTTCAGACTCAAGAACAGGCAAAAGCAAATTACATTCACCATTCTGAAGTTCGGGAAAATAGTACAGAGAATCTGGCCTTCCTTGTAGAGTGTCATACCTTGATTTTCGGATGTAATGTGAATTCCAAAGCTCTTTTACTTCATTTAAATTTTTTTGGAGCAAATCTGCAAAAGAAAACCAAAGGCATTCCACATGAAGAGGAATGGTGAGGTCTACAGTTCCTTCTTCAGCCAGATCTTTAAAAAAATTGATCCACCAATTTGCATGATCTTTTCTCAGGAATGACCACCACCCTTCTATCCTTTGGTTTCTGGGTGAAGACACATACTTATGACTACTTGGGTCATTACGAAAAAATGAGTGAATGGCAGCGGCAAAGCCATTTTCCGTACCAAGGTCTGTAATAAAATCTACAGGACAGCCATTAAATTGTTCCACAGCCTCCAAATAATACGTTCCAATATTACTTGGTAGATTATTTGACTTAGTAACATATAACCAAAGGACTTTACGGCTCCATCCGTCTATACATCCATGGATTGGAAAGCCATATGGTTTTAACTTGTCATATCCGTCACAATGCCAGGAAAAATTTGGTGCAGGATTCCAGTAAATCCTTCTCTTCAATCTGCGTCTAGATCTTTCTTGCACTCCTTCTGGATCAAGCTCTCTTAACAATCCTGCCACAACGTCTCTAGGTACAGTTATTCCCTTCATTTGAAGGGCATGCCATATTAAACGATAACCTCGGCAACCTCCTGGGCCGTCTAATTCCGCACGAATTGCATCACGTACAACGTCCATACCATAATGGTTGTTTTTTCGTCGAAGACCAAAATGTTTTATTCTTCGCTTTAAAGTACTCATGCTAATCTGCTTACCGTGATATTTTCTTATGAAGTTAAGAATTTCTTTGTATTGAAATCCTTTTAGGAAATAGTAACGTATGATCTCTTCCTCACTGCTTTGTTCAAGATTTTCATGGTCATCGACATCGTATTCTTCATTGTTTTCCGCCATTTTATATTTTTTAGACTATAAGTCAATGATTTAACTTCCTTCACTTTGCTTCCGCCGTAAGAATTTTAAATGTTGTCGTAAGATTTTCGTATTCAAATGTTGCCGTGAGTTTTTAAATGTTGCCGTTAAATTTTTGTATTCAAATGTTGCCGTGAGATTTTCGTATTCAAATGTTGCCGTGAGTTTTCAAATGTTGCCGTGAGATTTCAAATGTTGCCGTGAGATTTCAAATGTTGCCGTGAGTTTTCAAATGTTGCCGTGAGATTTTTGTATTCAAATGTTGCCGTGAGATTTTAGTATTCAAATGTTGCCGTGAGTTTTTAAATGTTGCCGTGAGATTTTTGTATTCAAATGTTGCCGTGACACTTATAGGCCACCGTACATATCCGTGTGACGTTGCCAAACGCTGTCGACAAGGACACGCTAGGTAAGTTTGCAATCATCTTTTTCAATAAACCCATTCATTTAGCGTTTATAAAACAGATTGAGCATGCAATTTGTATTGTTTAGGTTAAAACTTATGAGCTTTGTTGATTGTTTGTTGAATCAAAAAGTTTCTCGCTTTCAATTTACTAGCTACTTGTATAGGCAAACATGCCATCGCGAGCTGGTAATACAATATCTCACATGTTACACTTGAATATCCGTATTTATCACTGCTTTGTTGATACAACTGTTATCAATTAACCGTATTTATCACTGCTTTTATAATTAAATCTACTTATAAAAGATGAATAATTTTGTGATTGCGATATATCACGCATTGCTTGAACACTTCGAAACTGAACTCCTTGTTTAAACTCCTTGTTCTTCGTATGTACTGTTTGAATTCAAACATTTGGCAGAGTCGGTTATGGCGTTCTAATTCATATTTCATTCTTTGAAAAGCTTAAAAAGTAAAATATGTGCTACCTGTTCACTTGAGTATTGGCAACTTGAAGTACGTTGGTCTTCTAGATGTTCGAGTTCAAGGAATGATTCTAAACGTTCAGAATAAGCTTTCCAAATGATTTGGGTGAAGATTACGAATGTCAATAAATTCTTTTGTTTGTAAATGTGTTTGGGTTTCGCCTGAAATAAGAACGTGTGATGGATTTTGAACTTGATAGCTATCTTAAAAAGACTGTAAACATACACGTTGAAATCCCTTTTCTCATCAAGTTTTTGTTTTTATGTAGGTAAAGTATTATGCTTTAATTGTTGAAATGTGTAAATGCCGGTGAAAATAGTTTTTTGCCAGTTTTGATTTGATTACATTAAGAGATTTAGAGGGGGTAATTTCTGAATGGGTTGATGGGTGAGAACTAATTGAGGCAGAGAGGCTTTCTAACTTATAAAAGCCACAACCAAAGCCCTCTAAAAGTTTTAAGTCAATCTTGGAGCAGAGATGAATTTACTGTGGGCTAGGCACTCTTCCTAGCGTTGGCTACAAGTTGTATGAATTTTCCTTTAAATTATTAATATACAAGGGAATTGAGAAAAAAGCAATTATGATTTGTGTTCTGTGGAGCACACTTCAAAAATATTTCCCACTAGGCTACCTATGCTATGAGTAACAGAATTTAACATAAAAGCCCATCATGACACAATGACATCCAAAAACTTCTAATCCAAACCAAAGCACTCCATGTACCCCCTTAAAATCATTCTTGATCCATCCCTGTCTTGAAGTAAATGCACTAAATTTATCCCCAGCTTCACATTTCACATTTTGTGTTTTTTATTTAGGTGCAAAGAAAGATTGATTCCTTCTGTGTTCTAACTCAATCACTAAACTTGTAAGAAACAGGGCCAAGACTCAAGTGGGTAAGTTACCTTTTCTATTCTATGCATACTATTAAGTCAAGTTAATCTTGCAATAGAAGGGATAAAACATCACCCAGATTGTAAGAAATTGAATGCATGACTAGGCACCGTTACCACTATCATACATAAGTCTACATACGTAATATATGCTGGCTTGGCTAAATTTGTGAGCAACATAATTTTATTCATGACCATGGTATCAGGGTGTCTGTTGAGAGAACATGTTCATTTGAAATGTGGGTATCCATCCATTATAGGAAAAACACCTGCAATTTTAGCTTCTTGCTTTAAAGTTAATGATGTTTGAATGCCATATATTTACAGGTTAGCAAACTTTTCATATCAATGGAAACCTTTCACTCTAACATGATGTATATAAAACAAGAAAACTGAAAACTCAAGCAGTTTCATTAATTGACTATTTTATGTGATCACATAGTGAGCATTGAACACCCACAAAATTTGAAAAGCTTTTATAGCAACTGCATGATATTTTATTGTAAAAAATTATTGAGATAAGTATAATTTCTGCTTTTCGTGTCAGTACAGCAAAACTGCTCTTTTATATCAGTTCAGTTGTAAAGAGTTAAAAAACAGCTTGCATCTTGGTGATTGCTTTTGAGCAATTACCTCTGGTTTGATCAAGTTTGATGGCATTGGTTTGTCAAAATTGAGTCCTTTTCACGTCCATGACAGAAATGTTGATAAGTAGTTACCATTTCTAACCAGATTTCCTGACGAAACTTTGAAGATATTAAGGCTATTCCTGTCGTTACACATATTATGTTGGTTAACCTGTTTTCCAATGAGCTTGCTTATAAAACCCAACAGAAAGGATACTGAGCCCTCAGAAATATCGCAAGACCTTTTGACATTTTATATAATAACATATTTTGGAAGTAGTTTTGAAATATTGGCTGATGGTTTTATTTTAAATGAATTGTCTGATTCCAAAATTTGATCTATTGAGTATAGATGTTGATTTATAGTCATACATAAAGACAACACAATTTGGCAAAATAGGATTGAAGTGATTAACATAAATTATTCTTGCATGGGCGGAAAAACAGAAGTGGTTATAGAAAAATGAAATACAAAAAAAAACTATGAAGGCATTTTTGTTTCAAGGCTCATTTAATTTAAGGTCAGTTAATTCCTTACTAATTTCAAAATAGTTATATTCCAATAATTTTGTCTACCATAAAGACCAAACTATTTGGCAGACAAATGCATTTTTTCTAGGTGCTTCTGATAATCTTTTTTATGCATCAGTTTGGATGCATAATACATAAATTAAAAAAGTTAACAAACATATGAGCCGAATTAGGAAATTCTTCTCAGTCAGTAGTTTTCTATACCAAAATAAAAAAACAGGAAATTTATTCATTTGCAAGTGCATGACAAAAACAATGTACCCAATTTTGGAGATAGCATTAAGTTGGATGCTATTGTGTTTTTATTCTGTTACATTATTATTATTTTTCATACTTGACAATACAATTTATATATTTACAAAGTTATCTATCATTCATTTTTTGATATAAATATACCTCAACACCAGGCTAACTGAAATCATGGTGAAAACCATTACATATTTTAGTTGTTTCATGCGTTCATCCTTAAAATGGACATAAATGCCACAGAATATTTACATACAGGTCATTTCTAGTGATATTTGTGATTTGCATTTGTCGAGTGGCAATTTTCTTTGCTGAGTGTCAATGAATCATGTATAGTGTTAATATAAAAGTCACTGGAGACGATTTTCTGTTTGTAAGTATTTTGTGTTAAAGGTCCGTTCCTTCATATTACAAATATACACATTAACTTAAGTATAATGTGTAAAATTACTTACCACTATCATTGTTTTCTTTAATTTCAGCAATAATGCGAACCACGCAACTTAATATTAAAGTTTAAAATGAATTTAAAATAAAAATTTAATCAGAAGAGCATACACTTTACAATAAACGATTGAAGATATCCAAAACTTCGCGGGATAGTAAATTGCGGTAAATGATGGGTTGCGTGGTTGCGACCAGGCAGGCAAGTCACCAGGCCTGTTGTTTGAATGGACGTTTCAAATTGACTTATAGAGTCAATTTGAAGGTATTTTCACAATTAGCGTATAGAGTTAATTTAAGGAAGAGACTGGGTTGGATGATTATGAATGGTGTGATAGCAACAAATGTTACACACCCCCTTTCCTCCCTCAATCAAAAGTTTTGCGTTATATTTAATTTTTGTACAATACAGGAAGCCAAGTAAGACTACTCTTTCTTAGAAGACTATGGCACTATGTCAACTATCTATACTTCAAAATTCTCATAACAACAAATTTAATTTGCAGTCTGTGGTTGAATTTCGTTGTATATATAAAAATTTAAGAGTAATACCAAGAGTCAACAGTGTTTTTGGATAATATAGTATAATTCACTGCTTTAATTCTGGAAAAGAAAGTACATTTTGTTATTGAGTTTATATCCCTTTAACTTAACTCAACTAAAACCGCAGCAGTAGACAAACAAAGCGTGTGCTATTTTATTTTTTTATTTTGTTTACTGATCATCGGGAAACGTGTCTTTATATGAATTTCGAGCACCGATTTCGAGTCGCATAAGTTTAGAGCTGAGCTAGAGCAGTGCAAACATTGAGGTTATGAATAAAACTGAATCCAAGAGGTCTGGTAACTTGCTTATATATGCCTTTACGGCGCCATTTTGCTTGGAATATCCGTCTCAATGATCCGTTTCGATGCCAATTTATGACTAGAGTCCCTCCTGAAAGATTTTCTCATCTAACTTTACTGACTATTACTTAGGACGAGGAAGTTTAGATGAGAAAATCGCCTGTCTTCGGATTCATATAGATTTTCCCGTCTGAGACAAGTTTTCCGTCTATTGTGTGAATTCGGCTTATATTGCCGACGTGGTGAAAAATTGAGCGAAACCTACTGCATTTTCGATAAGTGATGATTTGAATACAATAATAATATAAGTAGATTGAGTACTTGAAGTATACGTCTAGTCACTTATCTCTAGTGGCGTACAAACGTTCGAATACAAAATATGATTTCAATGAGCCATTTCCCGTTTCCGGAGAATAGGAGATTCAATTTTGACACGGTTACGGCACGTAGAAAAACATGCACTTTTTTGACGAGTTTTCACGTGCCTTTACTGTGTCTGTAATTTACAGACACAGTAAAGGGGGGCTGTTTACATGAGCCCGGCAAGCCGGGCTAGCCCTGCTAGCCGGGCTAATTTTAAGCCCGACTTTACATGGCAATAATCGCGCGAGAAGTCGCTGGTGTTTTTCGCGCGAAAATTAAAAAACCTAACATGGCGAACGTTTCTGCACTTATAACGATTATTGTATTAGTTATTTTTGTTTTTTTGATCGTTTTCATTCAAATTTACGGCTTTTTGGTCATCAATATATTAAACCATCATCAAATGGTACAATGTATGGCTATATTATTGTGTGCTACAAGAAGTTGTTTCGCTCGAAAAAGAAGACGAGCGTGCTTTGCAAAAAGAAACAACAAAAAGCGGAGGTCAACTTGGAGGCAAAATGGAAGGACAGAATCTTGGTGGGCAAAGCTTTTATCTAACGAAATGCCACTTGATACGTGGAAAAAAAATTTTCGAATGAGCCAGGAAGAATTTAAAAAACTAGCTGACGAACTACGGCCTTTTATATCCCCAGATCTTTCTTCTCCAACTTATATGGCTTTGAGCGCAGAAAAAAAGTTGGCTATGACCTTGTATTTTTTGAAGGACACCGGCTCTATGGCAATGACAGCAAATACTTTTGGTGTGGCGCTGTGTACTGTTTCTAGACATGTAGTACAAGTCAGTTATGCAATTGCGAAGCATCTCGGCCCGAAATACATACATTTGCCAATGAGTAAAGACGAAATGAGACAAAAATCTGCTGAATTTGAAGCAAAATTTGGGATGCCCCAAGCATTTGGATGCATTGATGGAACTCATGTACGAATTAAAAGACCAGTTTGTAACTCTCAAGAATATTTTAATTATAAACAGTTTTATTCCTTGAGTGTTCAAGCTATTTGTGATTTTCAAGGTCGTTTCATGGATGTAGATTGCAGATGGCCAGGAAGTGTCCACGATGCGAAAGTGTTTGCCAACTCTTCTATAAATAGAAAGTTGAGCAATGGTCTACTTCCAGTTACTTACAAACGACTAGTGCCAGGTCATGCAGAAATCCCAAACTATTTAATTGGGGACCCAGCCTATCCTCTTTTGCCGTATTGCATGAAAGAATACCAAACATGCACAACAAACCAAGAGGTTCTATTTAATAATTTGTTGCGATCAGCCCGAAACCCAATTGAATGCTCATTTGGAAGGCTTAAAGCTAGATGGTCAGTTTTAAGTAAGCAGATCGATGTAAAATTAGAAAATGTACCAGTAATAATTTACTCATGCTTTGTTCTTCACAACTATTGTGAACAAAATAAGACTGGAATTGACCACAGCTTAGTTGAAAAACAAATTTCGTTAAAGAAGGTGCAAGAAAATGGAAATCCTTTGGCAAAGTATTCTAGCAATGAAGGGGAAGGAGGAGTTGTTAGAACTGTTTTGACTACTTACATTAAGTTAAATCTTCCTGATCATTTGGTAACAGATTAATAAGTAAATGAAGTCTACACTTTCATGCAATTGTAAAACTTTATGATATATATAGTTTGTTAAGGTAAACAAAATTGTTTCAAATAGGAAATATACAAAAAAAACAAGCACGTTACAAAATGTTAATACTTTGTCCCTATTAAAACAACTCAACAAAACAACAAGAACCCATTAAGCCTCTTTTAAACATACATTATCAGAAAATGTGATTGCAAACTACAAATACTACGAGTAGAAACTAGAAATTTCACGAAGTGATGTAAGTGCTTATATGGGTTATTGAACATACAGGGTCTCTGAGTGAAATAATATGTCAAAAAGAGGAACTGAAAAAATTTAATAATATAGTGACACAAAAGTTACTGTTGCTAACAATGTCTTAAGTTTCAATGCCAAGTACAGCCATAGTGTCATCTGCTCATACTCTAAAGTAAATACCTTTTGGAGTGTGAATACATTATATAGCTACACTGCAGGGTCATCTGGATTATATGATGACGCAGAGTTGTTTTGCATTTGTTGCCGTGCAGGTATTGACAATCGTTGGTGATATTGTGGCTGCTGATATTGTGAGTGTTGATATTGTGGATGTTGATATCGGGGGTGTTGATATCGTGGATGTTGATACTGCTGCTGCTGCTCGTTGGCAATCACCGAAGCTAACATCTCAATTGATCGTGTCAATCCTGATCCAATATTTTCAATGGCCGTACTCATGTGTGTAATTGCTGCAGTTGCATTCCTCGAGGATTCTCTAACAACATCTGTCATTTCTTTCCTAAAATTCATTTCATGTTTGGGTCATTCCATGTGAAATCAACAAATAGAAATTCAAAATGTCACCCACCCATCCCAGATTTTAACCAAAATTGCACCAATTGGAGGTATAAGTGAGATATGAAATCACACCAAATTTGAGCTCAATATCTTTATTTGTTCCTGAGATATCGGTTTTTCAATTTTCCACCAATGTCGGTGTCGGTTATAGCATTCTTCATAAGTGGTACACAAAAATGTATGGTATTTCAACTGTCGTTTCCTATCCTTTAACTCTATAGACAAGAAAACTGGTGATATACCATTTTAAGACATGCTGAATCAGAATATGAGGTCAAAAATATCATTACTTGAAAAGAAATGCATATTTTCTATGTTAAACAATGGTATATATATATCCCGAAACCATAAAAAGGATCAAATTACAAACCAAAAATTACCCATGTTGGCAATGTAGGACCAAACCCATTTTTGGTGTGGTATATGAATATATAATGAGGATTAATTTCACCAAGTTTTGGCTTGGTGTCTCTTCTACTTGCTGAAAAATATGCCAACAAATTTATGGTTGAGATCCTATGTAAATTCTTAATTTTATGGAACTGTCATATCCAGCATTTGCAATCATCACCTTTAGAAGTTGTTATTTGATGTTCAATAATGTTAATATATTGTTCAGTACTGTACTGTACTTTTCAAGTTATGTTACATGCTATCTGAGTTATTCAGCAAGTGCTTGTTCAATTGTGGATATGTCTTTGTCACTCAACTTGTATTGTCTTCCTGTTACTGTTACTGGTGCCTCAATGATGCACACCACATTCATAATTGGTACAAAACATACATCATCTTTCCTTGGCCAGGAGAAGGATCTTGCTGGGTAGCTTGGATGCATAAACTTGACTTGAACATCATCATTTTCCTTATCTACTACATCAACAAGTCCAACCCAAAGTTTCTCATCATACGAGCAAACAATAAAGTCAGACATGTTTGGATCTGCCAGCTTCACTAAGTTTGTCTTCCCCACCACTAGATTAAACTCTAAGACATACAATTCATCTTCCGAAACACGTTTAGCAGCCATAACACTTTCAGAGAGGGAGTAAGTGATGAAAGCCTCTTGTGCCAGGAAGAGTAGTTGCAGTGCTATACCTTGTCTCCAACATGCTCCTGATAGGAACCATCTCCTCTGCTGAAATAAAGATAACATGAACACCTTTGACTTCTTCATTACAGTACTCGAAAACTTGTTTTGCTGTCAGAATGGGATGCGAGTGAGTTCTTTGTAGACTGGCTCTTGCTGTCAATCGTTTCAACGTACCTCCAATGCCATCGCACGGAGATTTGCCATGGCTTGTAGCGAAGAATGACCATTCACATTTCACATTGAAGTCCTTTTCGTGAAGGCACAAGTTGATAAAGTTCTTATAGTTCTTATATTGTCCTGCACAGCCATCGCTGAAATAATGCACCATACTCAGTGTTGTGAAAATCTCATCCTTAATATAATGAACAGTTTGTTTCATGACTTCATAAACAAAGCATGTATCATGATTCAAGTCATCTGAGATGAAACAAAGAGATTTCTCCATAAGTTTATTGTCTTTATGTAATACAACACAATTGGATGGAGGGTGCACGACTGCTTGTTCCAATGAAATCCTTGGATTTCATCTTGAATTACAATTGGTAATTCTCAGCAAAATCTCCCAAAACAATTACCTCGTTTTTTTTTAGTTCTTCCTTACATTTTTTAAGATATTTTGCCTGTGCTTTAGCAATGTAGGAATGGGCTGTGAGGGTGTTAAGTTTCTCAACAAGGAGGGAGATAAAATCCTCAACTGGCATGATCTGCTGGACCAGCTCCGAGCGATCGACATTTGTCCACTGTTGAAACTGTATGGTGCATGGGTCATTCTCATCATCAATTTCAGGTTGAAGCTGCTCTAAAAGGTAGTTCTCCAAATCTTGAGTGTCAGGCGGGCAGTTGGGATAACGGTGAATCATACACTGCTTAGAATCTCTGCAGCATACTATCATGTTCATGAGCTCATGGTGATCCTTGTCAAAATTCACAGCGCTCAGCATCAGAACAACATTTTGGTGAATTGTGCACACACAAACAGAATGAGTTCCTGAACAACCAACCAAAACACACCATTTTGGCCTCAAACTACAAAACTTCGAAAATCCTACTTTTATATCTGGATACTTCTCTTTGAATGCAGCATATAATTCTTTCAAGTCGCAAAGGAGAAGGCGTTTCTGCTTGTGGACATTCCTTGCAATACTGACACAATCCTTTTTACCCGGCATAAGTCTACTGTATTCATCATCACAGTAGAAATCAGCAACACATCTTTTTGTTTCTTCTGATAAACTTTTTCCTTTCTTTGGCCCTGGTAACTCCAGAATGCCCTTTTCTTTTACCAATTTCCTTGATTGCCTGACCATATAAGCAGAAACATTAAATTCATTTTTCGTTTTTTCAATCGACCACGAAGGTGGTGCAATGGTTAGTATTTGGACTTTCTGTTGTCGGTTACAAGACTGCATTTTGCTTTTCATTAGATCGACAAGACAATCTAAGTTGTCTGCTTTTTCCTTCAGTTGATCGTAATTGTCAGGTTGGCTGCTTTCTGATGGGTCTAGATTTTCAGAACTAACACCAATTACTTTTGCAACTAGTTTTTGAGCAGTAGATTCTTGTTCTTTAAGTTTATCTCGAAACTGTTGGAGTTTTCGTTTACCCAAAGTAACTTTGGAATGAGAAGGAACGCCATGTAACTTTATTGGGCTCAAATCCACCTCTTTAAAACTTGTGTCAAGCTCATGTCTGCTGACAGTCATTTCTTCTCTGTATCTACAGGACATGGTTTCTTTATCACTTTCGCTATCTGTCTGTGAATCTGGTTCAACTGGACAGAGCTCATCCATCTTATTTGTTGCAGCCTCCAATTTTCTAGTAAGTTCCTTTCGACAAGTTGGGCAGATCTTCTTCCCAGGAATGACAGATATGTTGATGCTATTAAAATCCTCAGCAATGTTCAGAGACACCTCCCGCAGTGAACCTTTGACTGGTTTTTGGTGCTTATTAAATGGGTTGCAGCAGCTTCTTTGATGGGATGAATATCTTTTAAGAATTAACTGCTCATGATGGAGACAAATTTCATGATCAGGGCTGGTTGAAATTCCTGTTCTCATTGATATCAATTTAACCTGCTCTGCTGTTAGATCACTGAACGATCTTAGGTCAGTTGACCGGGTATGAACAGCTAAGTGACACTCTTCTTCAAGGTGATTTCCGATAGAACACTTCTTCAACTTTTCTGTTGAAGACATTCTTTATTGTAAGAGAAAATAGAGACTTGAGAGTAAACTAATGTAACGTTGGGCCGTAGAACGGTTAGATTTGGATCAGCATGTCCCTCGGTATATGCACTTGCGCCATGAAATCATACACTTGCCACGTATCGTTATTATTATTGCACTATATTTAATCATACGAGTTTACAATGAATGAACGCTATGCTCTATTCATCTCTTGTCTCCTATTCTATATTTTGTCGTGCATTTATATAGTAACTAAAGGGAGTGTTCTCCGTCATATCCTGCACGTAATAGTGGGATGACTTAGTTCCTTCTAAGCGCGTTATAGTGCTTTCATGCTTTGTGGTCGGGCTTGTGTGGTTAGCTTGTAGCGCGTTGTTGTGCTTACTCACATCGTATATTCGTTGACGCACAACAACTATGACTCAGTTTGATTCGTCGCTACACTAAATAGTGATTGTAGAGCAGCAAACGAGTAAAACACGTGTAATAAAGTTTTGGATTGTGAAACTTCGAACACTTGTGTCAGTGATTTGTATTTAATTGCGATATACTTAAAACCATGACCAGACGACAATTTAAAGAAGTATAATATAAAACAGACAGACTGAGGATGACTTTAAATTAAAGTCGAAAATTTACAGTTTACTTCTCGTCTTGTTTTAATTCATATTTTGCAATCTCAAGATGTCTTGTTTCTTCGGAATTTGTTTTATATTATGCGATGTACTTCATGTATGAAAGTTATTGTGTACAAGCATGCAGAGATTAAAAGAAAAACCATTGAAATGTTACAAAAAACCAGATTTTTTGCCATATTCCAGCAGAATTTTCAGGAAATTTCAACACTATCTTTTTGGCGAATTTCTCAGCAAGTAGAAGAGACACCAAGCCAAAACTTGGTGAAATTAATCCTCATTATATATTCATATACCACACCAAAAATGGGTTTGGTCCTACATTGCCAACATGGGTAATTTTTGGTTTGTAATTT